TTGCCCAAAGTGTTAGGAACCAAATTTCACAAATGGCATCAAATTCCAACATTAGCAAATTGTGAGTCTGGAGGAACAGTGGATCTTGGAGATTTTATGAATTACAACAACGGGAACTAGTGAAATTTGCTAGGTTGGAAACAGATTATAATTCATATTGTCTATAGTAGAGGTAACTGGTTTGATCCCGGAGTTTTTACCAGTTGGGTTTCTCCGTCATCATATCGGTGTTCATTATTTATTGCTTTCCATATTACAAACCGTGGTATTCAAACATATGATAATTGAATTGTATGCTCAATCAACTAGAAACTATTAAAAATTGACTTGTTGCTTTTAATAGATTAATTCCGTACATAAGGTCAAACTTAATTAGTAAATCACGTATTTTCAGAGAAGCTTAGTGAAGTAGGCACGTCTATGAAGATGCGGACTACCTACATTTGGACAAAAAGATCCTATGAAGTTTCATTATTTGCTAAGATTGGATTCTAATTAACCAAATATCCTATGAAGGCTTGTTCTTGATTATTTCTTCAGTTTCTATTGGACTCTCAATTGGAGTATTTCTCTTATTGTGGTTAACCTATTTTCCGGATAAAAATAATCAGTTAGTGTATTTCATCGTTGTTATGGCAGTCTACAGATGCTTTGAAGCATCAAGATATTATAGCGCCACACACATACCAACTTCTTTTCTTGGTCGAGGCGTTGCCTGGCTGGTAGGAAGCTAGCTCATTGCATCCATTCCACTGCCAATTGTTGGAGCTTTTAATTGCGTCCTCTTTGCTCTTATTTGTATGTACACTTGTAATTGAATCTAGCATTAGTGAGTTCGCTGCGTAATTCATGGTGGTACATTAACATAATATGAACTGATGAATTAGATCATCAAATATTGGATTGGTATACGAATTTTGAGCATAAAATAGTTACTGGCTTTTTGCTAGGAGTAGAAAAATTTACTTTTTTTGAACCATTTATCTTTCCAGATTTTTATTTTTTAGTTTATTACTATCTTTATCGTATGTTGCAGCTTCCGCTGGTCTTGGTTTACTACAGTTCTGCAACCTCAACAGCTTCAGGGCAAAGTTCATTATAGGCTTCTCATTCTCCATGGGTGACTCGATCATCTTTACACCTAATATTCCTAGAAATAGGAATCGGTTGGCCTATATGCTTGTCTCCTATGCAGCTTATTCTTTCGTGAGTGTTCATTGGATGGAGTGAGAACTTTTTATTTCACCATCTGTTCGTGAGGATTTGAATTTATAAAAACGATGCTGGTAATGTTCAGGAAAAAAAAAATTTGCAAAAATTCTGTCCCCTTCTGAAACTTATTTCCTAAAAGAACTGTTTGGGAGCAATACCCAAGGCCCAAGCCCACAGCACCAGGTCCAAGTGAGGTTCCATCCCAAAACCAATTGGTAGTGGGTGGAGTAACCCACTTGGGTTATATGGTGGATTTCTTTTTTGTTTCACAATCGATGTGGGATACTTGTTTGCTACAACAATCCCTCCCTCAAATAAGACTCACGAGGTAAATCACCACT